AGGCGGCCATATTGAGTGGGGCACGTGAGATTAATAACGTGCTGGATGAGTGTGATCCTAGTTCATTTTATTACTTCATTGCTGTGCTGTATGTGTATAGGCCAATGTAGTTGGATCTGTATGTGCGTTATTAATCGATTAACAAAAAATTTGATTGATCGAACACGAAAATTTGAATCAGTACCAGCCCTAAAAACTATTAAAATCCTATGAAAAACTAATACCATGCAACAAAATTCAGTGTAAAATCTTGGTATTATATAAAATTAATATTATAATCATAAAAATATTGTTGTACAGAAATAATTTTTATCATATAAAAGGCAACGGTTGGGGTGATGTTTATTTATTTCATCTTAATTTTTGAGAACTGGAGCTTATAAGTGCAAATTGCAATTATTTATTGCTAAAGGTCCCCACACACCTTACGATAATCGTACGATGTTCGGCGGGTTTGTGGCATGTCCGTACGATAACAGCCGTACGGGCCGGTGTGCGCAAGCGCACACTGCCCGTTCGGCATTGCGGTCATCGGAAGCCCGCCCCTCAGGGGGCGTGGCTTGCGATCATCGCAAGTACGATCTGCCCATGCAAGATGGGCAGATCGTACGTTTTTTTAAGTACCTTACAACCATCGCAAGACAAAAGTCCTGCGATGGTTGTAAGGTGTGTGCCCAGCCTAAGTAAACAGTTGAGATCAAACTCTATATTCAGCCCTTTTGGGGACAAGGTATCCAATAGAAAAATCCATTTGGACTCGTTTTGGGAAACTTTCCTGGTACCCCTACAGTGTTTCTCTATCTTATCGATCACTTTGAGGTATTTAGGATCGCAATTATGACAGTTTTTAAAATGCCTGGATAAACTGTGGTTCTTAACCCCTTCATGACTGAGGCCTTTTTTTCATTTTTTTGCACCCATGTTATATTCCACATTTTAGGCCTGAAAATGACTTAAAACCCCCCAACATTATATATTTTCTGAATGCCAAGACCCTATAAAATAAAATGGTGGTAGTTGCAAATTTTTATATTGCGCAATATTAGCGCAACTCCTTATTAAACCCCAACATTTAGTGAAAAATGTAATTAAATTCCCCAAAACACAAGAAAAATACCCATTTCTTTAATGAAATATAAAAGATGAGGTTACAACGAGTAAAACGATACCCAACATGCCCAGGTTACAAATCGCGTGCGTCCGTGAAATGGCGAAAAACTGCAGTACCCCAAAAAGTCCATAGTAGACGCTTTAAAAGCCCCCCACAGGTCATAAATTTAGCGATACCCCAAAATACTGGCCCTATAATTATTGCTCTCACTCCGGCGTGCGCGGCGATAGCCAACATGTGTAGCGCGTTCGTCGTTTTCATACGCAGGCGCACCAGACGCGTGTTTACGTGGCGACGCGCGTGCTCACGGGGGCGGGGGACTTTTACATTTTTTTATTATTAGATTCATTTTATTTAATTTTAATTGAAAAAGTGTTTTTTTTTGTGTGGTTTTTTTTTTTTACTTTGCTATCACATAGGGGGGCTTACAAGCCACCCCATGTGATAGCAGATGGTGGTGACAGGTACTCTTTAAGGTGATGCTGGGGGTCCAAAAGACCCCCAGTGTCACCTTTACACTGGAAATAAGCTATTGAAGTGCAGATCGCACTTCAATAGCTTATAGCTGGGCTGCAGGAGCCCAGAACTGACAGCCCAGGGACCGGAAGTGATGCAATCTGCATAGCTCCTGGTCCCATAGAACGGGGAGGGGATCGATGAACGGAAGTTCTGCCGACCTCCTCCCCAGCTCCCCGCGGACGCCGGTCCCAGGCCCAGAGGAGGGGCAATGGAAGCACAGCAGCGGTGTCCGGCGGGGGCGGCCCCTTCTACGGGACACAGAAGCGATCTGGCGACAGGTATGTCGCCAGAATCACTTCTGTTGTAAAGCCGACAGTCGGCTTTACAAGTTTAAACAGCCCCGATGCTGGCGACGTACACTGTACGTTGTCAGTCACGAAGGGGTTAAAGCCTTTTAAAATATTGTTTATGTTCTTCCATTCGTTTTTTAAGCATCCTCGTGGTCCTCCCAATATATTGGAGCCTGCATGGGCACTCTAACATGTACGTGACGTACCTACTGTGACACGAGAAACTTTTTAATACTGTATTCTTTTTGATTGGTGTTTGATTCAAGCTTTGTTATTTTATTTCTAGCCCCTATAGTTTTACAGCAGATGCAGTATTTACAAGGATAAAAACCTTTACCTTCAAAAAACGAAACTTTATGTGTGGGTGGGTTCAATACACTTTTCGCTATTTGTGTCTTAAGATTCGGGCCCTCCTATAAATGACTTTAGGACAATTTTGGGAGTAACGGTCCCAAAGTTCTATCCCTCTTTAGTAGGGATGCACCGATACCGATACTAGTATCGGTGCTGATACCGAGTATTTGGGTGAGTACTCGTACTCGCCCAAATGCTCCGATACCTAGCACGAGTACTTCCTGTATCCGGAAGCCGGGCAGCTCGTCATTACACGCTGCCTGATTTCCTTATTGGCCGGGAAACGGCTCCATGCTCTCTCGCCACTTGTGATGAGAGAGCATGGAGCCGACTTCACAGCCAATCAGGAAGCCGGGTAGCGTGCAATGACGCGCTTTCCGGCTTCCCGATTGGTCAGGAAGCTAGCAAATCCGGAAGCCGGGAAGCCGGCGTCATGCTCCTCGTCATCTCATGAATCATAATATTAAGAAACTGACCTAAAATCATTAGTTTGTATTGCTTTAGAAAAAATTTGACCTGTCCCTTTTTAAGAAAAAGTATCGGTAATTGGTATCTGCGAGTACTTGATCAAAAGTATCGGTACTCGGTCTTAAAAAAGTGGTATCGGTGCATCCCTACTCTTTAGGATGGGCCAATGTTTCTTAAAAATTGCTTAAATTTTTCTGTATTGAGCAGAGTAATCTGTTATGAAGGCTACAGGAGGAGGAAGTGAGTTTTTCAGAGGGTGTCCTAATAATACTTCCCTTTCTCTTTCCAATACTTCCTTTTGTACTTTTTTAAGGACTTTTTCTTTGAACCTGTTTTATTAGTATTTCGGACTGATTCAAAAAATCTTCTTCCGTTTGCAATTTCGTCTTATACGTGTCATTTGACCCTTGGGAATGCCATTCAACCAATTAGGGTGATGACAACTTATGGTAGGTATAAGGAAAAAAGTCTTAGTGTCCAATTTTTATTCCCATTTCTCCAAATATCCAAATCTAGAAATTGGACGTTATTGATGCCGATGTTGCTGGTGAAGGAGGGGTTGAAATCGTTATGGTTCAAAGATTCTATAAAGGACTGTAGGGACTGGTAATCGCCCTCCCAGATTACAATGACGTCATCTATATAGCGTTTCCATAACCTTAATTGTGGGATGTCATTCTTAAATCTATATTCTTCTTCCCACCAGGCCACATAGAGGTTGGCCAGACTAGGCACAAATTTAGCGTCCATCGCTATTCCTCTTTGTTGCAAAAAATGCTTCCCATCATGCCAGAAATAATTTCTGGACATGGCAAAGTCCAGGCATTTCAAAATAAATCCCTTCTGTTCCGTTTCATATTTATGTAGTGTAAGCGCCCAATCAATTGCTTTCAGCCCTTCTCTAATATACAAAGGACATCTAATCATACAGAGGTTGTATCACCTCAATCACTTTGCACAAAGTGACTGCACACCACAGTCTCTATTAACTGTTTTTTTTAGTGTTAAGATTGCTTTATATAGTTATCACAATTACAAGAGACCATACGGTCTTTTCATTTTTATTTACACAGCAAGGTTTGTATATCTATTTACAGTTAGCAGTTTGCACTGATCATGGTTTATGAGTATTACTTGATTTATTAAGATGTTTAGTTATTCACATAGAAAGGGTTTTTAGCGCCGCAAAATCTCCTTTAAGGTGTTTACTACTACGGGAGAGAGGGAGGGAGAGAGAGAGAGGGGGCGAGAGAGAGAGAGGGGGCGAGAGAGAGAGAGGGGGCGAGAGAGAGAGAGGGGGCGAGAGAGAGAGAGGGGGCGAGAGAGAGAGAGGGGGCGAGAGAGAGAGAGGGGGCGAGAGAGAGAGAGGGGGCGAGAGAGAGAGAGGGGGCGAGAGAGAGAGAGGGGGCGAGAGAGAGAGAGGGGGCGAGAGAGAGAGAGGGGGCGAGAGAGAGAGAGGGGGCGAGAGAGAGAGAGGGGGCGAGAGAGAGAGAGGGGGCGAGAGAGAGAGAGGGGGCGAGAGAGAGAGAGGGGGCGAGAGAGAGAGAGGGGGCGAGAGAGAGAGAGGGGGCGAGAGAGAGAGAGGGGGCGAGAGAGAGAGAGGGGGCGAGAGAGAGAGAGGGGGCGAGAGAGAGAGAGGGGGCGAGAGAGAGAGAGGGGGCGAGAGAGAGAGAGGGGGCGAGAGAGAGAGAGGGGGCGAGAGAGAGAGAGGGGGCGAGAGAGAGAGAGGGGGCGAGAGAGAGAGAGGGGGCGAGAGAGAGAGAGGGGGCGAGAGAGAGAGAGGGGGCGAGAGAGAGAGAGGGGGCGAGAGAGAGAGAGGGGGCGAGAGAGAGAGAGGGGGCGAGAGAGAGAGAGGGGGCGAGAGAGAGAGAGGGGGCGAGAGAGAGAGAGGGGGCGAGAGAGAGAGAGGGGGCGAGAGAGAGAGAGGGGGCGAGAGAGAGAGAGGGGGCGAGAGAGAGAGAGGGGGCGAGAGAGAGAGAGGGGGCGAGAGAGAGAGAGGGGGCGAGAGAGAGAGAGGGGGGGAGAGAGAGGGGGAGAGAATGAAAACAGACAGATTTTCTCTTATTTCCTGTCTAGAAGGAGAGGGCAGCAAGAAAGGAGATCTCGCCACCAGAGTCCCAGATAGCAAAAAAAAAATCAACAAGGGCTCTAATCTTTCCACACTCTTGCTAAAACTAACAAAAACATTTTTAGCTGCACTTTAAACTATACCAACGCCCCCAGAAGTCAGAGGTAACTTAGAAATCAATATTTCTTACATCTGTATTTAACACCTTCCGAGAGTTGAGTTCTACGAGGACAGTATGATGGTCAAAGTCCTCCAGGATGTAGGTCAGACAATCTCTGTAATACTCGTGTATCCTCGTCAGTGATGAATCGGGATACGCAGACAGCTGATGGCGGAACCTCCCGATGTCCTCTAGAAAAACACAAAGTACATTTTACAGGTCTGAGGACTGAATTTAAGACCCAAATGTATCTATTAGAAAATCTTCCATAAATATATATTCTTCTTTGTTCCATATTTAATTTCTAATATTCAGAATAAGTTGGTTGGTAGGAAAAACAAATACAAGACAACAGAAGGCAAAATATTTAAATGATATCCTCTTATTTGCTCATATTTTT